TTCTCCTCTAGTGACATTTGCAGCTTGTGTTATAGGTGTTAACCCAAGGCACAGCTGAAGCAACTGCTACTTAGATAGGCCAGAGAAAAATGACATCCCATGATAACCACACAGCTATAAATCATGGTGCTGAGCATCATTATAACTGCTTACACTGCTTCTTGTTCTGAAGTTAAAAAAGAGAAAACTTTGACACAGAATTAATCAGAAATAATTTCAAATGTATGCGAGTCCAGAAGATTTAAATTTTTAGTGCAGAAATTAATACCATGTATGAGCGTCCTTACTTTGGAATAACTCTACTCATGCCTTCTCTCAAGTTTTCAACCATTTCTGAAATAGGAAAAAAAAAAAAATATCCCTTCACTTAGGAGCTTTTCCTCTTGGAGGTTCAGGATTTAGACCTCTGCCAGAGGCATGAGCTTCAAAGGAGAGAATCAACTGCACAGCTACACATACATAAATAGCAAATTAAGCCAGATGTGAAGCCAACTACTGTACCCAGGTGATAGGAGCAGGAGAATGTAAGCAGAAAGTACAACTAGGTAAATTCACCTCCTGTCTAGAAAGTGCTACAGGGGTTTCTTGTCCGGGAGCAGTTTACACCTCCGTGTCATCTGGCAGTGGCAGAAGGGTGCCAGCAGGACGGAAGTTGTGGCAGCGCTCCAGGGACACCCCAGTGAGCCATTGACTCCAGGTATCTGACTTCTGCCTTCTTAAGTCTCATCCTGATAATCACTCAAGCACAAGTCAGCTGAGGTCGGGATGTGAGGAGGTATATTGCTGCCGGGGAGAAAAACCTCCGAGGAAATATATTTCTATCCCAGCTAACCCCAGAAGAGGAAACAACCCATCTGACATCCCACCTTTTGGTCCCGTTAGGGCCACGAGTGCTGTAACACAGCATCCTCCCACCTACTTTTTCTACTGGGAATCTTGCCCAGCTTTGCAGAAGATTGTACTCCCCTGCAGCGGGTGTGTTTGTCCCTTCATTCATCTGAGCTGCTTTGCATTCACAAACTCCCCAGGTAACAGGTGCTATATAAAATAAGGTACAATCCTCTAGAACTGGCTAAAACAAGTAAAGAGAGATTTTTCCGTGAAAGAAAGTGACGTAACTACGAGTACTTTTGTTGCCGCAGAAACGTTTGTTCCGCTCATAACAAAGCCTTCCACAGTCTTTTGGTATTCCCGTATTCATAGAGGTGGCAGGAATATGCCAAACTTGCCCATAAAACAAACACAAAAAAATTAAATCTCAAACTCTTTTCAGTACCTGGTTTCCAATTTTTCCCCCATATGTGGCAAGAAATAAATGTACGTACGTCGCTTGCATCTGAAAAAGTCAAATGCTGGTGGACTGAATTCTAACTTGAATGCACATTGGTGGGATGAGATGCTGATCCACTTGCACAGTAATGTGCTATATTTAAGTCACGCATCGTGGCATCTTCAAAGAGGCCAGTCATAATTATGATGGATTAGACTGCAGAGTCAGTCCTAGATGCAGTAATTGTTTCACAGATGCTGCTGATGTGACTTGAATTTCTAATGAATTATAGCTGAAGGAAAATGCGCGGTGCTCCTAAACAATCCGGATAAAATACAGTTATGGGAAAGAGAAAAAAGGCTAATTGCTACGCTTAGGGAAAGGTAGATTTACTTTGAGAGGCAGACAGGTCACCCCACAACAATTAGAAAGAAGAGTACAGAGACTTGGTAAGGCACAACCAGGTCTGCTTAGCAGTACCATTAAGAATATCTTTATGGTGTCCCAGTTAAAAACAGTAATAAAGGTATCGTTGCCGTTTGTCTTTTGCCAGCTTTAAATTACAAATAATTGCTGTGATTTGTAGCTGCTCGAGCAAGATTTGTACTCAGGTGTGATTCAAGGACTGCAAATAACTGAGTGCAGACAGAGAGGGAAATAAATATAATGCAAAGTCATCACAGTCCTAGATGCATTTCAAAGAATGCAAATCTAGCACTTTTAATCGATGATGTAACTTTTTAAAGAACGAAATGACTCCCCTGTCCTTTGCAGTGTCTAACACCAGTGCCTGTCAGTGGTCAGAATCTGGGGGAACTGGTTGACGCATACCATGAGGTCTTTGAGAATACCGTATGGACTAACAACCCGTATCACACAGTGAAAATAACCTTGTGTTTTTTGAGGACGGCATGAACCTAAGGCTCTTTTCTGAAGCACAGATGTGCTCCTTCAAGGGGTTTCCAAGCGAAGTTTAGAGAAGTCGGGCAGCCCCCACTTCTAAACAAGAAGGTGTTTTTACCCGTCAGTAACGAGTTGAGAAGGATTGTCTGGGAACTCTTGGAAGGAATTTAGTTGCAACCCACACGATACACCAGAACACAAACAGCAAGGCAAACTTTGCGGGCCAGAGGAAGTTTCTCATGACTCAATCACACAGACTAAAACTTTTTTTAAAGAAATAAATATTTTAGAAGCGGCTTGACAGCACAGTGTTAATTACTATGGTGCCTTTTATTTCATTTCGTGCTTGCGAAATACAGCAGCCTACACACTCTCGTCTGAGTTGTGGTTCAGCTACAACTTCTAGGTATGAAAGGTGTGAAGGCAAAGAATGGGTTCCAAATTAGGCTGACATTTTATTTTTGAGACACTCTGGGAGCATCGTTCTGCCACCCGGCCTAGAATGACACATCAGAGGAATCCTTTTCACGCTGCTTTCTGTTAAGCGTGGAATATCGTCTCCCTGGGAAAGCTGCAAAGGCTTGTGTCTTGCAGTACTTCAAAGCTAGGTTGGGAAATACACTGAAATATATCTAGAAGGGAGGAAGCCTGCCTTATCTTGTCAAGAAAATAGGTAAGATGGACAAACATTCCTTTCCATCTCCCTATTCTTAGCCTTCCTTTCAAAACCTCTTTTTTTTTTAAGTAGTGTTACTTGCAGAGATAACTTCTCTATCATACAAAACATAATTTGAGTACAGAAAGAAAAGAAAAAATACTTCAGGGGGTCAAAAGTAAATCTAAAATCAAGTTTGGAATAAGGAGGAAGTAGATACAAGTCATCATATAGGTGGGTGCCAGTCGAAATGGATGTTTGAATTGTCCTGATACTGAAATCAGAGCTGCAAGCAGAGAGGGGATTCTGCTGGATGTAACGAATCCCTTCAATGAATACTACTGTTAAAGGCATTTTTGAATCATATTACTCAACTAAGTAAGGCAAAACTGCACTGAAAACTGTACAAATTAGATGTTCTTTAGCATTTAAAAAAAAAAAGAAAAAAAGAGATTAGTGTAGGATAAATATATAAGCAGAGCAACCGTGATGGGGGAGATTTTTCAGTCTAGTAGTTCTTCTGAGGCAGTGACAATAACAGCCACATGTAGTGCTTCTCCTGACTTTGCAGTCCAACTAGGGATGACCTGGTACTGGAGAACCCTTCAGATTTCCCTTTATACAACCTAAAAATAAAAGCTTCAGGACAGAGACATGCATGAGTCTAAATTTTCTCTGTGCAATCTCACATCTGTAAGACGCTCTGTCGGTCTGTCTTCTGTTGTTTGTGACTGGTTGAGAACCATAAAGCCAACAAAGAATAAATTACAAGCAGAGTCAAACAAGGGCTTTATCTATGTTAACTGGGATTGTGAATCCTGGGAAGATCCATGTGAACAGGATTAGCTTGTCATTATCTGGAATTTGTTCACTGCATATTGTCAGTACTTTTATCCAACGAAAAACTTCATTTTATAAATAAAATATAAAGAGTATATGAGAAAATGGGATTTTCCATCTAAACAAAGAAGAAAAAAAATCCTAGCTCCACAGCTGTGGTGCTCAGTTCAAAACCCAAACGCATAGTTTAAGCCATGCTTGATGTCTGTATGTAAATTTGAAAGGGTATTAATACCTGAAAAAAATACCACTTCCATCAGACCTTTCAGAAATCTCTTGATTTGTTTTTGTCAACATTACGAAGATGTTGATGAACTATGGACAGCAATCCTGTGTGGCTTTGTCTCACATGTGCATCGTGCCACTTGCGTGGTCTTCAGGAATGCCAATTTTAAAAGACCTTTTCAGACTGCTGAGGACAGAAAGAAAGGGGGGGGGGGGGGGGGGCCCCC